TATATATATATATATATATATATATATATATATATATATCCTTTTTTTTTTGCTATAGAGTAATTTGGCTGAAATAAATGTTCATCTGAAAAGACAAGTGAACAATTTATTAAAAATATTAAGAATTTGTATCAGGAAAAATCGAATCGAAATGGTTAACTGGACAACAGTTACTCAACACTAACCGGTAAACCGACCTAATTGGGCAAGTCCTTGAAGGTAAAAAAGTGTTAAAAAAATAAAAATCTAAATGAAAACTATATTTAAAACATGATTAAACAAAGCACATAAAAATGAATTTGAAAATTAAAGAAAAAACAGATTTTAAATAATCGATTTGTACTCGGGGAGTATTTTTTAAAATTTCCAAAACATGGGAAAATGTAAAAATAAGTATTAAGGATCAAAACAATTTTCAATCTCAAAAATGCATTAACAACAAAATCCCTTAAAATACCTGGCCTGTTGCGATCTAACCACACACGTTAGAAATTGAACTATCTGATTTTTCTTACACTAGTTTGTGTTAACAATTAGTGCCTGACCTTTGAACTGTCTGATTTTTCCTCCAGTAGTTTGTATTAGCAATTAGTGCCTGTTGAGCGGTCAAATTAGTAAACAACTGAATCTAACATCGGCGGTAATGTACGCTCTAACATTGGCGGTAATGTATGCTCTAACAAGTAGAATTAAGGGTGGTAATGGGCCGCACGGCCCGGCCCTAAAATGGTAGGGCTTGGGCCACAAGCTGTGGCCTGAGGTATAGGCCATTTTGGCCCAATCTTAAGCCAACTTTAAACTATATAAGTTGGGCTGGGCCTAGGCCATTTTGGCTCAGTCCTAGGCCGTCTCTCGTGCTTAGGCCATTTTGGCTCAGTCCTAAGTCCCTATAAAAAAAAAATAGGGTCAGCCTTGGGATAGGGCGGCCCTCCGATACTGTTGTGATACAGAATAAAATTTATCAGCAATACCGACTAAAATATCCTCTTTTCAAAGAGAAATAAAATCGTGTAAAAAATCACAAGAAGAAACAACAAAAACATGCTAATACAATATTTCAACTCGAAACAGAAAAAGCAAAATTAAACCCACGAGGGGATCTTTTTCACTCTCTACCTCTCTAATCTAAAAAAAAAAAGTTCTGCTTTTTCTTTTCAACGTCAAACTCCCTTTTACGTTACAATGCACCTTCTTCCCTTTTAATACTACGTCCTTTCCTTTGCAATAATTACGCTCCTATTTTACCTTATCTCCGATTACCAATCAACACCCAATAGATAAGGGTAAGCTTTGTATAAGGGAAAACCACACCCTTCCAAACAAAAACAGACTTATCTCATAAAACTACTTCCAATAATTATCTACTCCTAATAATCAGATGACGCTATCTAATATGAAGACACGCTTTCTAAAAAAAAGAAAAAAAATGTCCTACCAAGAAAGGTTTAACCCAAATAATAAAAACTCATTCTAAAAAATTAAATTGTCTTTTATTTCTTTTTTTGCCCGATCATGATCTAACCGCTCCAGCTAGTCCAACGCAATAATCTCAATCTCAACTACATCACGTTGCCAACCCTAAGAAGAATATCGTATAATAACTCCCTCGCACAAAAAAATAGTTGAGAGGATATATACACAAAATTTTAAAAAGGTATATGATGAGACCATTTATCATTGGTATAAAGTAATCACAATAAATCTTGACCATTGGATGTAAAATTGGGTGGCTACATTTATTTCATTACCAAGTTCAAAGTTCAAATTTTTTTTTTTGAACTTTGTGACACATCCAAACTATCAGATTTCACATCGGATGGTTATAAATAATTGTGACGGCCCTATTCCAAAGATAAAATGATCTCATTGTATATTCAATCCCTAAAAAGAGACGACTTTTGTCCAAAAATTTTATATAACCTCAATGGAAAATCCTTAGAAAGCCACTGAACCTGAGCCCTCTCTCTATCCCCGCAGTTTCTCTCTCTCTCCGACTTCTTTAAGGCAAAAACTCTAATGTCTTACCAAGTGAGAGATCCTCTTCTATCTATTTGTTTGTATTCCAGATTTGTGTGAACCCAATTAATTGATCTAAAAGTATAACATGCACTGTAAAATTATCTTCAATAGCTGCCTTTTAGCTGGTACCTACTCAGCCCTTGTCTGGGCTGAGTGACTCGAGTGGGTCCACTCTCGCCAGAGGAATGCATGCCCTAAAACAAATAAAAAATTTCTCAAAAATAACAAAAATCCATTCAGTCTGATTTAGAGTTAATAGAAATCATCATAAGGTCGAAGATGAAAAAAACCTATAAAATTTATACTATTGAAGATTTTGAATAATATCTTTCATAACACGCAAAAATTTAAAAAAAAAAGAAGAAAGGATATGAAAGATCCCAAAGCAGCCTAAAATCTATCAAAAATATCAAAAAGTCATTTCTAAGCAATATATCCTTCATTTGTATTTAGGGGTTTTATTGGGGGAGTTCAACACCCAGCTTGCCCAAAACTCGCCTTACCACTAGGTCGAGGCCAAATTACTTAGCCGATTTTAAGTGGACTAGGGCTAGTCATGCAACGCTGCCCCAAGCAATGTCAAGGTGCCATTTGTTAACTGCCAATTCTGCACTGATTAACGTAACCAACTACGACAGCTTTAACCCTGCAAGCATAACTTGTTGACAATGAAGATGGAAAATTGTAAGAAATGAAAGGAGATGAAAAGAAACTTTTTGGTCTTAAAGTAAATATTCGTTTTTAAGACTGATCTTCCATATATTCAAAGTTTTGGGTTAAAAAAATTCCCTTATGTTTCTTTTTCTAAACTGAGCTTCTCTAGTTTAGAAGTTTTGGATCATATGAATCCCTTTTCAACATGATTGTCCACCAGGAACAAATATACAATTTTTTACATTGTAGGACTTATTATGTCCACCCTTCTCAGGGAAGGATTGGAGTTGCATCCATGAACCTTCCAAGGTCCATTTAGGAGATGGATTCAATCCATAACCTATCCTATCATCTCAACTGCCCTGATAATGGATCTTAAACAAACAAACAAAAAAGAATTTTGGGCCTTAAAATAGTCTATATCTATTTCAATTATTTATGGATGGGATTTCTATGCGTCCTCCAGCTCATATGGAGGCCCCCACTAAAATTCATTGTAGATGATTTTTTTTTACTATAGATATATATATATATATATATATATATATATTTGTAGATTCATCATCTAGGCCAAGATGATCATAAATATGAAAAGAAAAGTAAACTTTTAAACTTAAAAATATAATTTTTTGGTATTTTTTATGCACCGTCCATGCCTTATTTATGGACAATATACTGTAGATAATGTCCATCCTAAAGATGGACGTTTGTAAGTCAGCGGGCTCTTGCGCCCGCTAACTCATGAAACCATTTTCCATTATTTAAAGATCTTCAAATTTGCATTAGTTTGGAGCTCCATGGATCTCAAGCGGAAATGGATTTGATTTCGAATGTGTTTCACGTCCTAAATTAGGTAAAACATGGGGAGGATAGATGTATAATTCCACCGAGGCATCAAAAACTATTCCTAATCTCTCTCCGTTTCATTTGAATAACTTCCTCATTCAATAGATATCAGCCTTGTATCGATAAAAAATTCAATGAATGCTTATAACTGGCTTATTTCTAGATCTCCATATTTCCAGAATTCCAGGTTCAATCAAACACAGGTCCTCTTGCTTTTCAAAATTCCAGAAAACTTATCATACACAGTATTTGTCAGTCACATGGTCCAGCTTCCAGTAAGTAGGATCTTCCATTTCCAAGGAGGTTCAAACAAATCATAGAAAGAGATGTTCATCTTCTCTCTCAGGAAAAAATTATAGTAATATGAATCGTCAAGCCATATAGACTCTTACATACTTTAATGGGATTCATCCAATTTCTGAGCTTCACCGCTTGCGCTAAATCGTCTATACATATCAGCAAATTCAGGATTCAAGTTAACTTCCATGGATCTTAATAACCCTAATTTGATCGATTGACCATGAATCCCTTTCCCTTCCTCTACACAATCACAAGCCCTCATAACGCTTATAATCAAAGATGGGTTAGGCTCCAACCCATCAGAAATCATATCAGCAAAAAGCCTCAGTGCTTTCTCTCTCCACCCGCTATCAACACATCCCATTATTACTCTACACCATAAATTAACATTCCTCACAAGTAACCCATCAAATATATACAAAGCTATATCCATTTTTCCACAATTTCTATACATATCAATAAGGGAATCCAAGACTCGGACATCTGAATCAAACCCAGTTTTGATCAATTGAGCATGGATTTCCTGGCCTTGCTTTAGAGCCATCTCATGGCTACAAGCTCTGATCATGCAAGAAAAACCCAACTCTTTAATGGCTTCCAAACTCAATCCAGAGCTCAAAATTCGCCTGATCAGAGCCATGGCTTCCTTTCCCTTGCCATTGAGATTATAGCTATCGATCATTGCCGTGCAAGCCACTAAGCTCGGTTCTTTCATTTCATCGAATACTTTGAGTGCATCATCAATGCTTCTGCATTTCCCATACATATCAATCAAAGCTGAACCAATAAACTCATCCGATTCCAGTTCTTGCTCAATTAACTCTCTATGGAGCTTTCGCCCCCTTTCCAAGTCCCCCACTTTAGAGCACGCGTTGAAAGCTACAGTATATGTAAAAACATTAGGCAGGGCTTTGACTCTCTTCATCTCATCGAACAATTTGAGAGCCCGGTGAGGCTGGCCACTCTGATAATATGCAGAGATCAATGTCGTCCATGAAACCGTGTTTTTCTCCCTCATTTTGTTGAACAATCGGCGAGCAAGAAGGAGGCGACCACATTTCGCATAAAAATCCATGAGTTTGTTGGCTACCATGATATCGGTTTCGAGATCGAGCACTCTGATTTTGTCATGGATTAAGAGACCAGAAGAGAAATCTAAGTTTTCCGAGCACATTTTGAGGAGGATGCAGAAGAGGGTGCGATCGGGGGGCAAGCCTTGGGCGTGCATCATGTCTAGGACTTCTATGGCTTCCTTTACTCGTTTTTGAAGGTTCCATTGGTCCTTTGAAGGGATAGAGAAGTTGGGTTGTGGAGGAGGGTGGTTGCTTTTTGATCTTTGGGCGCGAGGGGTGAGAGTTTTTGGTAGGGAGAGAGAGGACGTTGTTGGTGGTGGTGGTGGTGGTGGTGGAGAGAAGGCGTGGGGGTTGTGGAGGTGAGCCATGGGAGAGACAAGGTTCGCCATGGATCGAAACCGGGATCCCCACTGTTCAGAGGCGACCGTTATGCGATTATTTTCGTATGTATGCCATATCAATACGAAAAAGTTCATATAAAGGTGCGGCGGTCTTAAACCACGACCTCAAAATTTCTACCTGAATATTTAAGGCCACGAAAACATTTGAATTTCCTGAAAATAATGTAATTTGTAATGCATTATCTACACCGTCAGTTTTTAAGATTTTCAATTGTTCATAGATCTGCTCAATCTACATAAGCTTTAAATTTTATAGTTAGAGATGAAAATAAATTTTAAAAGCATCAAAAAGATTTTCAATACTTAAACAATATCTTTCAACACTTTTGAAGGTGTGCCTTATTTTCAAACTACACCCATATGGGTAAAGAAAAAGCTTATATAAGGTTGCAACCTTAAAATATAGAATTAAAGATGCACCTCAAAAGTCCATCATAAAAGGTTGTTTGGGTGTTGAAAAACTTTATAATTGATCATTTCAATATCCAGATCTATGAATATAAAAAGAAAAAACGATTTCGAGTCCGCGAAAGAGTGTATCTTGCAACACATTATTTGGCTCGTCCATTTTCAATATCTTCATGTGTTTATAGATCTACTTGATTTGAACCATTTTTAGAGTTTAAAATTGTATAATTAGTGATGACAATAGATTCTCAAGTCATCCTAAGAATTTTTATATCAAAATTATATTTATAATAAAATTTAGAGGTGCGTCTTAATTGGATTGTTTAATATTGCAACTTTTGGAAACCACATTCTTGTATAAAAATGCCTAAACCTAAACATTCAAAGTAAGGCACACCTAAAAATAATGTGGAAAAATGTTGTTTCAGTACTAAAATTTATGGGTGAGGTTTGTATAAGGTGTCAACCTTAAACAATCACGGTAAGGTGCACCCCAAAATCTCATCACAAGATATATTTTAGGCGGCGAAGCTCTTATGATCGCCCTAAAAAATATTTTTCACCCTTATTATAAAATTGAAAGCTCCAAAAATGTTGCAGATCTAGAAAATCTATAAACACTAAAAGATCTTAATAATAGATGGTCTAGAGGATGTGTTACAAGATGTACTATTATTAATACTTGAAATTCAATTTTCCTTTCATATTCATACATAACAAAGTGGATATGATGAAGGGTTTTCTAATGATAAAACAACATTCTTTGATGAATTTTGTTGTGCATTTGCCGTGTATCTTACTCGTACAGTCAAAAGTTGGCACCTTATATGAACTTTTTCATAAATTTATATTTTTTTCCAAGGAAGGGGTAATCCGGTCATTTAAAAAATGCGGTGAAACAATTTTCCCTTCTTTTTTTTTTTTATTTTTATACCCTTTCGTTTTTAACGGTTGATGCGGCCCACGTGAGTTGGGGGTTTTTAGCTCGAGATTGGGTTAAGCCCTTAAGCTAGGGAAAATTGCGTGGTTTCTCTGCCGCTCTACACTGGTTTCTTTCTGTTTCATTTTCAATTTCTTGGTATCTTGTTGCGTCGTATTCTTTTGCAATGGAGAAGCAGTTGAAGCCAAAGCATGAGATGATGAAGAAGAATCAGCATAAGCGATTGGGAGGAATGGGTCTTTCTTTGGAAGCCTTTGCAAATGCCAAATCAAAGGACAACCAATACAATCCTGCAATAATAAGTATATATATATATATATATATATATCTCTCTCTATTGATATCTTTTTATTCTGTGTTTTTTGTGGATATTTTCATTCTTTGAGTTTTGATATTCTGTGTAATTGAGTTAGATCACTCCTAAGCTCTACTTATGTGTTTTTGGGGAATGTTGGGATTCAATTTGATTTAGAAATTTTGGTTTCCGAATTAGGTTTTAGGGTTTTTTTAGTGTCTCTTATTTTTTTTGTTGTTTACTGTAATTCAATTCAATTCGTAACGTCTATCAAAAGTAAAAAGGAAAAAAAAAGAAAGAATTTCCTTTTCTCTTGGATGCCAAATTTGCAATTATTCTGCTTTGAAAAAATTTTCCTTTGGCATGTTTGGGGTCGGTTTCTGTTGCTCCGATTCATCAAAGTAGACCTGATAAGGGATGAGTTGGATTTTGAGATTCTTCAGTTTATGGGTGTTTAGACTTTAGACTTGGGTTGTGTTCTACTTGGTTTTGTGGGTGATACCGTGATAATAATAATGTGTATGATGCACTTCTCGGTTTATCTTTTTACTTGTATGAAGTTGAGCTTTCCTTCTAGTGTTGCAGAGGTTCAAAACAGCCAGATATGTAACCTTAATCTTGTGAACTGGAACATTCCAAGCATCAATTAGATGTAAGGAAAGAGGTGATTACAAATTTCAACTCTTGTTCTCTAGGCCTGCTTTTTCCCTTTTGTTCTGTTATTTTAAGCCATTTGTAGTTTGGCACTTAATAGAATGCTTAAAAATGTCTTTCTCATTTCGATAGTGACGCAAAAAGATTTGTGATCTCCAATGAACGATCTCAATATGATGCACAGCGAGGTATAGAATGCTTCTCAAGTTTTCATTAATTAAATATTTTAAATTTGTAACATTTCCTATGGACTGAAAACATCGTTTTGGAGTGAGGAATTTATGCATTCTTGTGATGCTTTATTATAAGTGCAACACACATTACTACTTATTGAAAACAATGCGTTGGTAATTGTTTGAGCTTCTTTGAATCTGAACCATATGGTTCCTGATCAGATCTTTTTGAAAATATTAAATAGGGATGATTTTTTTATTTTTTTGTTTTAACATTCATTGGACAGAATGTAAATTTTCGAGTATATATCCTGTGCAAAAATGTGTCCTGTTGTATTATATTTCTATTGATCCAAATATGTAACTGCCAGAGATGATCTCATGAGTCTCCCTCCATGTTTGATTTAAGGAAAAACATCAATATGCTGATAATAGTGAAAATTTGTTAAAAAAAAGGTTTAGCTAATCGCCATTAACAATTTATTCTTCTGCTACACCATGCTACTATGTTTGTTGATCTTGCAATGCATTTTTAGGTCAATGACCTTTTCTTTTTGAAATAAAATTTATATAGGACTACCGATAATAAAAGAAAAAGTTTAACATGGGATGCTCAAGTTTCAGAAGTGATTGTCTAAAATGCATTTAATCTTTTAAAGGTCTTATGCCATGGGAGGTGTAGTGGAGGGGGCAGAAATGGATATGCCACTTGGTTTGTTGTGCACCTCAAGCATAAGGCTTGCGCTTTATAAGGCATGTGCTTTACACAAGGAGTGCGGGCGCTCCGGATTGCCTTTAGATATGACCATTACATGCATGCATTTTCGAGGCTTTGGACCTGTCACTTGTGCTTGAAATGTGCCCCAGGACACCTTTGACAATTATTTGTGCTAGTTCAACTTCTAGCTTTATTTTGGAATATATTGTTGCCCATATGCTTGTGTATCATGATGAGTTTGATATATTTTTGGATATTTAATTCCTAAAGGTTGGACCATTAATTTGAAATATTTTTTGGGAAATTGATCAAAATACACCTAATGGTTGAACTATTTAACATTTTACCCTTGGTGTATTTTGATAAATTTTAAAACTGATTTTCATGTGTCATTTGATGGGTAATTTGAAATTTGCTCAAGAGAACGATGGGTAATTTGAAATTGCATAAAAAATTGTGGGTAAAATATTAAATAGTTCAAGTCATAAGTGTAATTTGATAATTTCCCTATTTTATTTGAAACCTCCAAAACTTGTCAATCAATACGTAAGCTAAGGTAATCATCAAAAAAGAGCAAAATGAAAAACTTTGGAAAAAGGTCTGTTGTTTGTCTGGCATGTAATTCTGATGCTAGTGCGACGTCTTGCTATGCACCAGAATGGGTTCTGCGTGTTAGATATTGTGCTTATCGCAAATGAACGGTTTCTTGCTTATAACAATAATATGTTGTAAATTCTAACCTGGAGCAATATTTATAATAAATCTAAACCCTTGGGGTATTAATTCTTTTATCCAACCAAAGTGTTGTAGACTTTACTGAGAAAATGCTTCCTTTTGATTGCAAACCCCTTGAGTAACTACCTTATTTTTACTGCAGTAAAAAATCTAGAGGTTGTTTTATTTCCTGTAATTACTTGAGGTCACATTGCAACCTCCATCAATGTTGCTTTGCATGTCCTTTAAGCTTCAACATCTCAATTCCTCTATTTTACCTTTTGGTCTTATTATTTTGTTGTCCTCCATTCTGATCTTCTCTATTATAAGAAATTGTGAGTGGAAATTTATGATTCCAAGTTAAGACTCATTGGTGCTGATGGTGAACATTTTTTATTTTTACTTTTCATTGTAAGGTTCACTCTTCAGTCATTGATTCTTCCCTCTTCATTAGTCAATGGAATTGTACTGAGCTGTGTTGCTTGTTCTGGAAAATGCATATCGTGTATTTTGACATGGGAGTAGTGTCTGTTCATGTTATGTCTCATGCTAAATGATGCTCTCATGGATTTGAGCAATACATTTCCAAATTGGGATCATTGAGATATGGAGTTTTTGGTTTGTGTTCTGTTTGAATTTGCTGCTCTCGACTCTCACATTCGTGATGCCGTTTTAGGTGCTGTGGACATGTTTTATTGAACTTAATTGTGTATAGGAAACTTCTGTTGTGCATAAATCCTCACTCTCTCTCTCTCATTGGAGGATGTTTGTTCATGTTTTCAGAAAAGCAAAGGGAGTTGTACAGGAATGCAAAACATGTGAGCAAATACAAGAAGTTTGTGAAGAAAGAAGGTGAAAAGTATAATACTCCGAGAAACATAAGCATATCAGAGGTTGGAAGCAACCTGTCCCTTTCTTCTACCTCCCTACCTCTCTCTCTGTCTCTCTGTGTATTATGGGAATATGCTTATTTAACAATGTGACTGAGATTTTATTGTAAAATATTTTTACAGGAAGAACTGAAACCGCAAGTCTTTCAGAGATCTGAGCAGGATGAAGGTGAACTCAGAAGCAGTAAAGAGAAGAGGAGGAAGAAAAAAGTATCACAGAGTTTGATGCAAGAATATGAGAAGAAGCGACAAGAAGAAGAGAAGGCGAGAGCAGAGAGAGAAGCTATTGCAAAAGCCAAGCGAGAAGATAGAGAGAGGGTAGAAGCTCAGCGGAAGGCACTAAAAGAGAAGATGCTGAAGAAAACGCGTTCGGGGCAGCCCGTCATGAAATACAGACTTGAGCATCTACTGCAAGGCATTCAAAACTCCTCTAACTAACCATATCATCATCGTCTAGGCCTTATTCTATGCTCCAACCAGATTTTGTTTCTTTTCACTTTTTTTTTGACTTTTAGTCAGCACATATTAAAGAGCTGACAAATTTGACAAATTGAGTGATAGCAATGCAAGTATAATTTAGAAAGAAAGAGAGAGAGAAGAGGAACCTGTTGAGGACTTGTGCCTTATTTGGAAGAGTTAGTGTTGAAATTTTGAAGGTTACGTGTAGTCATTAGGTCGGTGAATTAATTTGATATTGTTTGTGTTTTGCTTGAAAAACACTTTTCACCTACTGCCTCTGACCAGTCCACAATTTTTGCTCGAGTCTACGATTTTAGAGTCGGTTTAATGATTAAAATCCGATGAAGTATAATGCACCATTCTTGTTGATATATATATCTAAATTCTAGCATTACTAAAATTTTGCTGGCATATAATGTTTTTCTCTCCTCTCCCTTTCATAAAAGAAGGAAAATCGATAAAGGAATATGGCGAACAATGTACAACTTATTATGTTGTTTCTTAACATTGTTATGGCATCATCGTCGTCTATTTCTCAACTATTTGGAGTTGGTTATACAAATTTTGGTCCGTCAATCTCTTTTATTAAAGATTATACTTTTAGTTATGGGATACTAACAAATTTCCAAGTGCTGTAGTCTTATCAAAATACGTAAAGTATCACTCATAACTTGTTCAGAATTGCAATCCTAAGTGTTCAAATACCTTTAAATCAATTCGTTTGAATATTATGGTTGGGTAAAAAAATTAGGATTTGAAATTTAAAAAATATATATATATATATATTTTTTTTTTCAACAAATCATTTAGATCACCTAATTCGCCCTAAAATTAAATGTTTATAGATATACAAGATTATACCATTTTTTTAGTTTTAAATTTTATTGTCGTTGGAAATTAATTTTCGAGTACTGACGCCGAAAGTGCTTTCCTTATTAGGATTTGAGGTTTTGTTTTCGTAAAAGCCGAGGCTGTATTGACTCTTCACTCATTTATTTTCTTTAATGGAAAGGGCAAAATGGATAGGTTAAAAAACGATTAATACGTCATCTCTTTAAAATATTAAGTTTATTTGGTCATTTCTCCATACTGTGGGCCTTCACTCTCCATTTACTTATGGACGGTCCAGATAGCGAACATACCTTTGCATTTGGCTAATCTGGACCGTGAAAAATAGTCTATTTAGTTAGTAAAGTGCTGACTATATACTAGACCACATTTCGAAGTAGATGCCTTTGCTATTCCGGTGTCCTTGCCCGAATTTTCCGGCGTCATTTTTTGTGGAAAGGAATCGATTCAGGCCCGAGAATAGACGGTCACGATCTCGTCTAGTTGTTTCTTATAGCTTCCCTGGCGTTTTCAGGAAGCGTGAAGAACGAAGTGTCATTTTCCGGCGAGTTTCCCCTTGTTTCCGAGGGTTGTGGTAACATTTCCGATTAGAGTGTCAACAATATTTAAAAATGGTTATAGTATTTTCTTAATTAAGGGTTTCTGAATGTGTGAATGGATCTTTTTTTCAAGGAAGTTCAATGTGAAAGTCAGTATTTCTCCTTTTTCCGTTTTCCCTTATTTTTACCTAATGCAACACTGCGGAATTCAGCCACGTATGGTATACCTGGAAAATTTTATTTAATGCACAATGCGTTATTGAGAAATTCAATCCACTGTTTAGTTTTTATTTTTTGAGCAATTAATTGAATCTAAGTTGTTCTCAGAGAAGTGAAAGATGCCCTAATTCTGGATCATCAATGCTTTACTCCAGAAGGTTGTGAGAGAGAAATGGAGTGCCAGTGCTTTGGAATTCGTTTTTTACAGTCATGATTGTGTATTTTTTAATCACTTTTTCTCATTAACTCGAACGGATCGCTTGTTTCGTTGACTGTGGTAGTATGCGGTAGTTTTGTTCAAAATATACTCAATGAGTTTTAAATTTCACTAATTGGAAGTTTAGAACTGGTTTTCTTCGGAAGGAGTTTTCTTTTTTGTCTTTTTTCTTTTTTCTTTTTTTTTTATATGTACAGTCCATGGTATTCTTTTCCCTTCAAGAAAAAATAGTAAATTTCTCGGTCTGTTATTTTGTATGTGCAGTCATGTTCTCGTGATCTCTTTGGAAATTGCAATTATGCTTTTGTCTTACATACACTGTATTATGATAAAAAACTCTAAATATTTCTATTTATTGGAAAACAATTACATATGTAATCCTGGGCTTTTTTTGTTATGAACTACAAATATCTGGACTATTTTTCATTATTAATATATAGGAATCACCACATGTTTGGGAATCACTAATCTCATAATTTATGCAAATATATCATGGAAATTCTTGGGCATTTTAATTATTTAATAAACATCTTCTTTAGCTAAGCCTTTAAGAAACGTCTATGGCGCTTTCTAGTCTCATTTTGAAAAGTATTTATTTCTCATTGAAACAAGCCAATTCGCATTGTCATGCATGTTTATAAAATGCTGGGTGTTTTTAATCAGAAGAAACTCATGCTCTTTTCTTGGTGTTTAATACAGGGAAAAATCCAATTTATATAAATTCAATGATCACGCAAATTTGGGTTGTCCAGGTTTTATAGTTTTGGAGGATACCATTTCCTTTTCTGAAACATCAGTTCTCTGCGTATCGTGATGGTATCAATAATGGAATGGCTATTGATGTTTTTATTGTGTATTATATGGATGATAGGTCCAGTTTATTTAACTCTAGATACTGATTTTCAAGAGACAGTTCTTCTAATCAGAGACCCATTTTGAAGCAACAAGCATTTACATGCAGTTATTGGGACTACAGGTTTGCTTTTGCATTTGAGGTGGGCTTGTCTGTAACTTATGTTTATTCCACTCATGTTTATCAGATTCCGATGTCCAGGCATGTATAAAAATCAGCTGCAGGAGTTAGCTCAGAGAAGCTGTTTTAACCTTCCATCTTATTCATGCCTCCGAGAAGGACCGGATCATGCACCTCGATTCAAATCCACTGTTAACTTCAATGGCGAGATCTTTGAAAGTCCAAATTACTGTACCACCCTTAGACAGGCTGAGCATTCAGCTGCTGAGGTGGCTCTTAATGCTCTCTCCAAAAAAGGCCCTTCAAGATTGTTAGCTTCGAGAGTTCTGGTACATTCACACTTTTCTTGTCCTCTTTCTTTCCCGTTATCTGTGATGATTATGTATTAGATCATTCACTGGGTAGAAGGCCAAAAATCTGATTCATCGTCAAGAATTTGTTAAAGTATTGGAACTCAGCAACATTTTGGTGAGTGAAGATGTAATTTTGGGATTTTATTAGAGGGTTGACCAGAGGGGGCCTGCAGATGGTAACACAAATGTTTTACCGAAAAGGTAAAGAATGAAAGGAAAAAGAATACTAAGCCTAAAAACAAACAAAGAGTTTACCCTTTTGTATACTTCCTCCTCTCTCAATATGATTGGAGAAGGTAAAGTTATCTCAACGCTAATATTCAGCTTCTAATTGATCGGAACTTTCATTCTTCTACTATAATTGAATTCTCTGATAATTAAAACTATAATTCTATTCTTTTCAATATATTGTTAATTTGCGTGTAAACTCACTATTTTGCTCTTTTTAGGGATACACTAGATACTTTCTCATTTCTTCAAAAGTTGTGGTGATTTCTGGGATTCAACTGTAGCGTTCACATGTCTTCATTATTCTCTGGATGTCTCTTAATAAGTCAAATGTTGGATTGAATGAAGGTTCTTTGAGATTTCTATCTGAATTATTACTTCATGAGGGTTTTGGAACTGACTCACTAATCCAGAAGTTATAAGGAGACATAAGAAATAAAAAAAACCTTTGACTTCGCAGAGGAGAATTGTGATTGATAAAAAGCTTTCAATTATGTGATTGAAATAGAGTTTCAACTATTCATCTTTTAGACTTAAATCATCTTGATAGAAGTACTTGACTCTTACAGTGACATTTGGGATTTTATTTGTGCTCGCTTCTGACATTACTAGTAATGTAAATGCTAACTCATCCCAGTGAATACTATGTAGTTTGTAATTTTTTTTAAGAATGAAGTGTTTATAGGATTATTTAACCTTTGTGGTGGTTTATCCATTTACTGCATAATTTGAATATCATCATTTTTAACCATGAGTGTCTCTTAGAACTAACTATTTAAATTTGTTCATAATTCATTAACTTCATTTTCTGCGGGTGGCTTAGTATTGTCTATTCCTTGTTGAATTATTGTGCTTTTGTGTCATTTATCCAATTGGGTACAGTATATATGGTTAAGGAGTCTTGAGCTTTTGCTTGCCTATGAATATGCAGGATGAGACCGGTGTGTACAAGAATTTGCTACAAGAAACAGCACACAGAGCTGGGTTAGACCTCCCTGTTTACACCACCGTGCGATCCGGACCTGGTCATGTGCCACTTTTCTTGAGCACTGTCGAGCTTGCAGGAATGACCTTTTCAGGAGATCCAGGAAAGAGCAAGAAACAAGCTCAGAAGAATGCAGCCATGGCTGCCTGGACAGCTCTGAAACAGAGTGAGTCCATTTCTAGTCTCTTGGGCTCTTTTTCTGTTGAATTAGATGTTCAAATTTTAATGAAACGTCAGCAGCCTTGAGTTTCTGAATAACTGAATCCGTTTTTTGGTTTTGGTTATGGATTTTGATGAATTATAGATGTGAAGATCTAAATTTAATGCGTACCTGTAAACAGAGAAAGGGATGAAAGTAGCCTGATGTTATTTCATTAGCACTCCTCCTGGAGGACCTATTATTATAACTGCCATGTTAGAAAGCTCAAACCATGTCCCCAGCCAGCATCAAGTGCCAAATATAATGATGAACCAACTATCACTATTGGCTTTCACAAAAAAGTACATAAATATCAAACAATAGTCAACTTTTTCATTTGTAATTGAAGTTTAGAATAAAGTATTGCCTATGGCACCAATGGGAGACTTTTAGGACGTTCTAATGTAAGTTAACACACCCACAGAGCTAGCAGTTGGACCTACGGAAAATTCTGGATCATTTTGTCAATTATTTTGGGACTCATAAAGAAATTTCCATATCCAGTTACTTTTTTTTATAGCACTTCGTGCACACCCATCAAATTCTATGAAAGAAATAGCGTGACACATGAGAATCAATGCATGTGCATTGCTTGAATAAGAATGAAAATGTAATGGGAAATTAGTTTACTTGAATTTGCAAGATATAGATAATTGCATGAAAGAGTCAAACAAAGAATGTGATTGTATTGTGACAAGCATACTTTTGACTAGTTCTAAAAAGATAAGGATATTTCGGTCCTTCCCAAAAATCTGTCATGGTATCCTTTATTTGAACATTGGTAATATGAGTTTGTTATTTCTGAGATAGATGTTAATATTACTGCAAAGGCGGCTATGGACCATAAATGGGCTATCATTTGCCCCATGTAGAAGAAAGCAAACTGTTCAGGAAAAGCATTTAACTACCACATGAAACATAACCACTCTATTGAGTTAATAATATTCACATTATGGGGGAGAGTTCCAGTTCAAAACATTGAAATCCTGCAATACCGGAAAGAGATTGTAAACCAAAATTATAAATTTGTATTTGAGGTAGCTGTTGGGTGATGTATTATCGTGGTTGTTAATCCTTTTAGGTACTGTCAGATGCTTTTTTGTCAATTTTTTTCTTTCAACCATTACCATATCAACTGAGAAGATCTGAAGGGCGATCACTGATAACCTTTCTGCCTATTATACATTTCTGATTTTTGTTTATTGCTAGAGAAGGACCTGATTGTTTTCTTCTTTTCCTTTTTCTTATTTTCAGTGTCGCAATCTGGTCCTTATTCCTCTTTGTCATCAGAGTGTGAGGTTAGCGAAGAGCAAGAACAGGTCACCATTGCTCGTCTTCTTGCAGGGCTCAGCCTAACTATCCAGCAAAAGACACCTGTTCAACATGAACGACAGCAAAAAAGCCAGGATCCAAATATGCATAGGAGAGAGATTCCCCAATCATGTATTATGTCTACTGCATATCCAATCTTACCATATCAAAATTGGTCTCCCTGTGATTTCTCAACTGACATTTCTATGTACCATTCATGGAATCAGCAACACAACTTATTTGCAGTTTCCCCGCCTCCCCAACTGCTGCCATACATTCAGGCCTCTTATCATGCAAACCATGGCTTATCCAGCCCTACAAGAATGGTCATGGGAGTCTCTTCTTCTTTTTCGCCACCTTTTCTCTCTCTTGAACCGCTGCCCATGCAGGTTAGAACCAGTGGGTGTCACATGCATGAGTTACAAGAGGAAAACAGGAGGGAAAAGAGAGAGTGGCCTCATCAGGTATTAATGCCAAATTCCAGGATAGATTCCAGCAACCTGAATTCCAATCACCGGTCTGATACTCCCAACCTCCGGCCATTCAAAAGCCAGATGCCTCGTGCTTCTGTCAAATCCAATGTGAAAATTCAGGAGGTGGAGGAAGAAAAGCAAAAGGGTCGTGGTTCAGGAGTAGAGAGGGAATCAAAGTGCGAGAATTCTGAATCCTCGCATCAAAATTCTTGTATTTCTCAGATTCACGAAGGTAAGGAGACAGAGCATTTATGTGTTCAGGGTGGCTCTTTGGGAGCTTCAGCTACAGAGATCCGAAACCGACCTGTTGTGAGAGAATCTAGACTTAGGCCGATAGCCCCCAGTTCAATGCACTTTCAGGGACAGAGCATGCGTAGGTTCAGTCATTCGCATGTTGCGAATTTCATGGCTCCAGCAGTTCAGATAAGGTCAGTGATACCGGTTTGTTCGGCTCCACCAGAAAGGAGGTCACCAGAGCCCAATGACATGTGCTCGACTGAATATGATCCAAAAAAATGACGAGTGAGAGAATGTTTGGGCATCCAATTTAGAGGTAGGTTAAACGATTATATTGCTATATGAATACGAGTAATCTTCAAGAGTTGCTGTCAGAGTTGTTTGTCCTTCGGGTGCTTTTATCTACCTATGTTTTATGCTTCTTTATGAGTTTTGTCTGGCTGCTGCTGAATCTGCATTTCCTGCAGAGACAGCATTCATGGATTCTTTGGTCGAGGCAATCATTTGGGTCCATCGAAATTGAAACGATGTTGTTGACCTAATCTGGTCGAGCTCGGCCGACCCACTATTTTTTACTTAAAGCTTACATTTTATATTTTAAAAAATATTATATATTTTTTAAAACATTTATGCTTTAAGAGAACGGGTCGGTTAGGGTTTGATCGGCCTAGACTTTGCAACCAACGTTAAAGATGCTAGGTGAGTCTGGGTCAGCGCTGACTCAGAGCCCCCACATCTACCAACGACCTATACACTACTTTGAATTTTTTATTTTTTAGTTTGGCTCTGGAAATTAAGTTTTTAGCTTATAGGAGAAAAGCAATTTCTCTATTTTTGGTTCAAAATAGAGAGTTTTTGTCAAAAACGTTTTCGTTTCAAATTTTGGATCCAAACAACCGGCAATCTCCCTGGAAATCAATTAGCTGGTACTCTTTGTTTGGGGATCTAAACAACTCTTAAGGAGAATGTAATAAAATGGTTTAATTTCATGTAGATAATTGAGATGGTTAAATTAATCAATTTATTAGAGAGGAGCTGTTTTTAATGTTTTTTTGAGAAAAAAAAAAAACCATTTTATCATCCAAATTTAGAAAGTTGTGTATATTTTGTATTTTACACCGAAGTTCCTTCTTTGAGAGTGCATAATGTATCTAATTATATTTTTTATATTGGATTAAAGTTCAGATTTGAGGAATTCATACTTATCATACCTCAAATTTGTAAAATAAATATTAAAAAATATTTTAAAATAAATAACTAAATTACCCCTATTTTGTGTTTGGAACCAATGTTGTCCGATTTGCTTTTGGAGTCCTCAATTTGGTAAG